TTAACACCCAAATAGGGTCATCTTTACCTAACTGAAACCGGGCCTAAACCCTGATAGTAAGATGTCTATGTCTTTCCCTGGTTACACAGCCATACCAATGTAGGCCAACCAACAAGGGGGGGGGCACCCCCCCTTTATTTTCTCAGCCCAAACCAAAATGTATCATAATACTTGCAAAAGGGATAAACAGGGGGAATAAAAATTAGCTAAATTTCAAACCCAAAGTACCTAAAAAAACCTTCACATTGATAAAACACTACAATTTTCCAAAAGTAAAAAACATTAGCCAATTTAGCCCAAAATCTAGGAAGAAAGAAAACGGATGCACGCATAAACCCAAAGATACTTCCCTACTTTTCAGGTGACTTCAATTTTAATTTCCCCTTGCAAGACCAGGCCCCACACTTAAACGAATTCACAAACACAATGATTTTCGGTATTTATACCAACAGAAAAAAAAACCCCTACAAGAGTTACAGAGACTAGTTTTTCCCCTTTACTTGCCCACATCTGGACCCAAAACCAATTTCCCCCTTTTAAAAAAAGGCATAAATTTCGAAAAAATAACCCCAGGAAAACTACCCTACTTTCCTCATAACTCGGGTTTTAAAATACCCCAAGACACTACTAAAGTCACCTTCAACCCTTTAGAATGTGGCCGCCATTAATAACTTTTACAACAGGGGTTTCAAACATTGTTGGGGACACGAGCTAGAAACCTATACAGATATTGACGAAAAGTATTAATTAAATTTTTTAAAAAAAAAAAACCCAATTTCCTCTATAAAAAAGCACCCGCCCTAAAAAAAATTTAAAAAAATGACCCCAAAGAGGGCTGAACAGTCCCGGGGTAACCCCCCCATTCTCAAATCCAAAAAATACAAAACCCCCAATATGAAAAACAGTACAGAATTTGGGGCACATAACCAGAGACCAAACAAAACTTACTCTTTAAACCCAACCCCCTGATAAAAGGGCAAAAAAATTGAAATTTTGAGAACAGATTATCCAACTTAAGAGGTTTATATAAAAAAACCTTGGGAAAAAACCCAAACAAAAAATTTTGGGAAAAAAAAGAAAAAACACGAAATAGCGAAATAAAATTAGCCCCAAAAACAGATGAACCCCAACTCCCACCAACAACAAAAGCAAACAGACTCAAAGATTTTTCTCCCCCTATAGGGGCAAAAAAACCCTTTCCATAAAATCCCAAGCTCAGATACCCCACCCAAAAGCTATTCACTGGGAAAATACCCGAAACAACTGTTCCTAGCTCCGACTAACCCATACGAAAAACTCCCTTTTTAACATCGCCTAAAAAACAAAGGGGGAGGAGATTTAAATACCTTTCCAACCCTTTTTATACAAAAAAGTGTCACAAATGTATCACCCAAACAAGCAACATTTAAAAAATCCCTTTTAAAACCCCCCTTCCCTACAGTCTCAAAAAGCAAGGGTAACCCCGATTCCCCAAAGGGGGGGGAGGGACAAACAGGGTTAAAAAATAGGGCGTACAACCCCAAATTTTTAAATTTAAACCGGAACAATTTCTTTTCCCCAAAAAAAATTAACCAACCCCCCTTTGGCGGGCCAATTTAAAAAAAAAAAAAGCTTTTTAAAGAGGAAACAATACCTGGAATTTGGGAAAAAAAGAAGGGCCCTCTGGGGATCTTCCGGGGGAAAAAGCCTTTTTTAAATTTGGGGCCCCTTTCCTTTCTCCAATTAAAATTTTAATAGGTATTAAAATCCCTAATTTTGTATCCTAAAAAAAAATAGTTAAAGAATTCAAAATTTTTTTAACCAAATTTCATTTTGGGGTAAAAAAGGTTCCCCACCTTTTTTAAACATTATTAAACTTTTCCCAATTTTAAAAAAAAAGAAGGGGCCACGGGGTCTTTCCCCCGACCCTTAAGAAAACTGTTGAATACAGTTTACCATGGGGCTTCTCCACTAAAATTGCAAAAAACTTATTTTTGGGAAAAAAAGGGCCAATTTCCCCCAAAAAATAAATTAAAGGTCCCCAATCACAAAAAAAGAAGGGAAAATTTTTGGTACCGAAATGGGCCCAAAATTTTTTTCCCCCAAAAACCCAATTTTAAAAATTTGGTGGTTCCCCCCAAAAAGGGGGGAAAAATTCCCCTAGGCCCCTCCTTTTCTCTTTTTTCTCCCAGGGGGGGGGGGTAACCAATTTAAATTAAAGGGCCCTTTTCCAAAACTTGCAATTAAAAAAAACCCCAAACTATTTTAGGTGACACTACAAAAATTTTTCCTAAAACCCACCCATCCAAAAAAAACCAAAACTTATTTTACCAAATTTCAAAAAAAAATTAAACCCGGATTAACCCCCCAAAAACCCCTTCCAACTAAAAAGAAAAAAACCTTCCCAATTCATTTTTTTAAAGTTCCGTGTCCCTCTAAAATAAGAAAAAAAATCAACCCACAAAAACCCCAAAAGGGAAAATTTTAAAAAAACCAAATTTTTTTAAATTAGCCCCCCAAAATTTTATTTTCACCCCAAAACAAAAAATTTTTTAAAAAAATTTAAATTTTAACTTTTAAATTTTTTTTTTAAATTTTTGGGGGGAAGGTTCCACCAAACAGGGGGGGCCGGCCCCTTTCACTTTTATTTACCCATTTACCTTGGAATTTTTCATTTTAATTCAACTTAAACCCCCCCCTTTAGACCACTAATTACTCCCCAAAAAGGGCCCGCCGGTTTTGAATTTTTTTAAAAATTTCCACACCCAACACACTTAAATATTAAAAAAATTTTCCATTTACCCTACAAACCCTCCCCACTTTCTCAATTTTTACATAAATGAAACCTAAAAAAATCTAAATTAAATCCCCCCCAAAAAAACTTCCTTCCAATCTAAAGAAAAACAAAGCCCAAAACCCAACCAAGAACCTTTTTTGATTTTCCTTGTGTTTATATTAACCTTTTAAAAATTAAATCACATTTTTAAAAACCCCAAAAATTAATTTTTAACCGTTAAAAATTTTAAAAGAAAACCACCCTTTTATAATTTCAATCTCTTTCTTAAGGTTCACTTATTTCCCCCAAAAAAATAAATATGAAAAACTAAACCCTTATAAATTGTATACTTAAAATTTTTTTATTTTTTATTATCACACCCCCCCGATTCCCCACCAAGGCGGGGGGGCCCGAAAAGAAAAACTTTCACATCTTTTCACTCCATCACGTCTTCCCAGAAGGGTGCTTTAACTACATTTTTTTAAACTGAAACTTAACACCCCTCCTTCAGAGTGAGGCACTTACTTCCATCTCCAAACTCAAGCCGGCCTCCCGGTTTTTCCCTGAACCCTTTAAAAATGTTACTTTGCTCACACTCCAACAGCACGAATTTTAAAAAACCCATTTTTTCCATTCATCCTATCAAACCGCTCACGCATGTTTCTACAATTATACACATAAATGTAAACCTAAAACCCCAAACTAACTTTAATTTTTTTAAATACACTACCTAAAAGAATACTCCATACCAAATGAATGTACAACAATGCAAGCAACCCTATAAACCCGTCTTTGTAAAACTCCTTGTGCTTTTTAGTAATCTTTTAAATTTAATTTTTTTTCACGATTTCATCATTGCTTTGTTAAACTTAATTTAAATTTAACCAGCCCGTAATCTACTAGTATAAATGGCTTGGCTACTGCTCTTTTCTGTATTTTTTTTTACCCTCTTATGTGTGCCAAATTGGAAAAAAAAAAATTGTACCATTGTTTTCAAGGTCCCTTTTACCAAATGGTGCCATCTACCATTGGTACCATTGTATATTGTACCATTGATATGTGCCCTTGTGCCAATTTCCATATGGTACCATTTTATCATATATGCTATTGTACCATAGGTACCATTTCACCCATTTTCACCATTGTACCATAGGTCTATATGGACCATTGTACCAAATGGTTTTTTAAAATTTTATTTTTTTTTTTTTTTTTTTTTGTTTTTTTTTTTTTTTTTTTTTTTTTTTTTTTATTTTTTTTTTTTTTTTTTTTTTTTTTTTTTTTTTTTTTTTTTTTTTCCTTTTCTACCATGTGGTACCTTTGATCATATGGACCATTTACTGGCCATTGTACCATAGGCCCTTTGACCTAGGGATTGTTGTTTCAACACAATAACCCACTAATATTTTCATCATTTTTTTACAATAAATTGTAAACAAGTTTTTGTAAGAAAATAAAGATAAAAAATTAGTGCATTTTTTGGGTTTGAATACTGAGTGTACCTTATACAAATACATTATTTTTGGTCCACGGCCACAAATGTTATTAGAAAAATAAAAAAATTAAAAAAGAAAGAAAAAAGAGAAAAAACAAAAATAAAAAAAGGGATTTTGCGGAAGTCACTGATGTTGCCGCCCCCCCCAGTCATTTTGGGTCAATTCCACCGAGTATTCGGTAAGTACTGATCAAAAAAAACTTTTTTTTGTCTTATTACTTCCAAAAAATAAACTCTTTAATTCTGTAAGAAAAAATAATTTTTTTTTTTTTTTTAAAAAATTTTTTTGGGGACATGGAGCCCCTTCGATTTTGGCCCCGGGGACCCGAAGGGTTTAAAAAATATATTATTTTATTTTTTTTTCATTACAATCGCTGTTTCCCCCCAAGGCAGGGTGACCCAAATCAAAATTTTCACCTTACTTTTCATCACTGTTTTGCCAGAAGCAGCTTACACTGCATTACAAAACTGCAAAATTTAAAACCCCTCCTTCACAGTGCAGGCATGTTTCCCATCTCCCGGGCTCAAGTTTAGCCTGCCGGTTTCCTGAAACTCTTCCTTAATGTTCCCCTTGCTCCACTCCAACAGCATGTCAAGTTCCAAAAGCCATTTTTCTCCATTCGTGCTTTTCTAACATGCTCATTTTATACTTGCTGGAAATGCAAGCCCTCGCACACAAAACCCCTTTATCCCTTCCCTCCAATTATGCGTGTTTTTTTTACAACTGGGTCTATTTTTATTGAAATACTACAGGGTTAACACATTTTGCCCCTCCAATCCTCATGGCAGAATCAAGGTAATTGTACCCCCAACAGTTCGGTTAAACTAGGTATTACACATATTGAGTCTTTAACTGCTACTTGGGTACAAAAGATACATATTTGGTTCTATAACCTTAAACACGTAGTTTCACAGTTTTGGAAATCTGGCCATTAAACAGGGTTCCTAATGTCCTATTTTTCTAATAGAGCTCCACTTGTTTAAGACTGTAGATCTTCATTTGGCACAATTGTAATAATGGCAGGGTATTTCCCAAATTTTCCATTGGATCAAAAGCACTTTATAGGATCATGGCATCCCAATTAACCCTTTCAGGGTCCGTGCTGTAGATCTACGGCTTTACATTCAGGTCCAAACTGAGACTACACCAAAATTCTAGCCGGTCAAATTTAGCGGGGAGAAGGCTGGAAGGCCTACATGTGAAAAACGGGTCGCGGGGTGTGTGTGCACCATAAACAAAAATTCTAGGCGCCCGCAAGCATTGGGGGAAACGCCGGCTCAGTTACCTTTGTTCAAACCCTGCCTCGTCGCAAGGCAGCTCTCAATCCAAGGAAAATTAGGACTCTCCCTTCCTATCTGAAAAGTTCTGACTCTGATGGAAGTGGAAATGAAGACTAATTCTTTTGGGTTTGATTAGTTAGTGGGCCGAAAGGAAGAACCCGGATATTGATAATAGTGCAGAAAACCCTGATGATTCCAACCTTTTACCTCTGGTTGGGCACCTTCAGTCACGGTCAGTTGTACCTCATCGCAGGAGAAAACTATTATTTTTTTCGTGGCCAAGCCTCTGACTTCAGTAATGATGATGATAGTGAACGTGGATTGTGATTTTATTGCTCTTGATGACCATTCAAGTATTGATAGTGAGAAAACAGTGAAGCTCGGTATATACGCCACTGCATGCGCTTGGGTAGTGTTTCCTACGCAGTGCCCAGGGGACGGAGTACATCCCGTGGCCCTACACCAGGAATAGACAGTGAAAGTGAGGATGATGTGGCTACACTTGGCATAGATTTATTTATTATTTATTTACTACAAGTACATGTACATTGTATACAGTCCTAGCTGACAACAACATACTACTACATAGAAAGCCACTTGTTATGCTGAGCATCTCGGGCAAATTAGGTCAGTGTCCCAGGATGCGACCCACACCAGTCGACTAACACCCAGGTACCCATTTTACTGATGGGGAACATAGACAACAGGTGGAAAGAAACACGCCCAAAGTTTCTACTCTGGCTGGGAATCGAACCCAGGCCCTCGCCGTGTGAAGCGAGAGCGTTAACCACCAAGCCACCAGAGCCCCAGGCATCAGTAGGTGGTGGTAGTGGTGATGGTAGTGCCATGGCCATGCATGACTCACCAGCCCAGGCTGGGACCCACACTGCTGACTCCTCAGTTCAAGGACAAAGCGGAGCAATCAGCCAACTGCCCACCACAACCACAACTACCAGCACAACCAGCCTATGATGTCCAGTATCCACCAGCAAACCGTATCTCGGATTGGCAGCAAAATCCCAATTTTGTTCCCAAGCCCCACCAGTTTGATAACTCTCAAAGTGGAATTCTACCTACTTGTCCCCTTGGAACTACACCCAATGAACTGGAATTCTTTGAACTATTCTTTGACCAGCCCTTGATGGAAACTATTGTCAGGGAAAGTATCAAGTATTTTGAGTACACCATGGCAAATACGATATCACCACAGTCAAGACTACAGCTGTGGAAAGAGACAACTGTTGCAGAAATGTATTTGCTTTTTGCAACACTAATGCTTATGCCTCATGTCTATAAGCATAATATAAAATCATACTGGTCCACAGATTGGCTAATTTGTACCCCGGTCTTCATTGAAATCATCCCAGTGAACAGGTTTATCTTACTGTTACGTATGTTGCACTTCTCTGACAAAAGTTCAACATGTACTTTTATCCATTCAAGAATCTTGTACTTGACGAATCCTTGATTTTGTTCAAAGGTAGACTGTCATTCAAACAGAATATACCGAGCAAGAAGAAACGCTTTGGTATAAAACTGTTTGTACTCTGTGACTGTGACAGTGGCCTGGTGTTGGATATTGTTGTATACACGGGAAGTAAACCATTGAAAGATACGAGTATGTTATTGGGTATCTCAGGTGACGTAGTGAGAAGCTTGATGGCACCTTATCTTGGTAAGGGGTATACATTATATAATGATAACTGGTACACAATCCCTTTATCAGTGATTTTTTGCTAGTGAACATGACAGATGTGTGTGGCACAGTACATTCTAATCGTAAACATATGCCCAGGTTCAATGCAGGCACTCGTGGTGAAGAGATGCAGGTGTTTACTGCCAGTGACATCATAGCATTATGGTGCCATGACAAACGAGATGTCACATTACTGACAACCATTCACCGTAACAAAATGCAAGACAGTGACAAAGTTGATAGAATGACTAATGAATATATTCAAAAACCAGTGACAGTGATTGATTATACATAAAACATGCGCTTGGTTGACAAATGTGATATGCAGATTGGCTTTGTTGAGTGTGTTCGTAAGAGTTACAAGTGGTATATAAAACTTTTCTTCCATCTCATGGACATTTCAATGCTCAATGCATATAATATGTACCAAGTGAAGACTGGCAACAGACCACCATATGGTGAATTTTGTTTGTCTGTTGTCAGACAACTCATAATGAAATACCAAGTAACAACACCTGCTATACAAAACTGTCCTTGAACTCCTCAGGATATACCCAAGTGTTTGAGGAGGGAAGGTGATCACTTCATAATACAGCTTCCTGCAACTAAGAAGAAATTTGCTCAGAAGAGATGTGTTGTATGTGAACAAACAAAACGACGGCAACAAAGACGCAAAGACACTCGGTGTATGTGCGAGGAATGTGAGGTACATCTGTGCATGGTGCCTTGTTTCCAGGAGTTCCACAAGCTGCAGCAGTTCTAAAAACATGTCCAATGATTGTACATATGTAAATATATGACAGAACATTAGTATTATACAAGATTTGTGCATGTTTATTGTAATAAACAAAAGTGATAATATTATGATAATAACTTTAGTGCGGTTATTGTGTTCAAAAACAGTGAGTTTATATATATAAAATTATATAAAGTAGGGGGTCTAACGGGCCCCCATAGTTAGTGGGAAAAAAAAAAATTAAAAAAAAAAGAAAAAAATATACAAAATGTAAAATAAAGAAATCCCGCGTATGGGGAAAATTTGTTGTTTTTTTGCTCCCACCCCCGGTCTTTTTTGGTTTCAATTTTCTTGCCACTGATTTTGGTAAGAACTGTTCAGATTTTTTTTTTTTGTTTTATTCCCTTCAAAAAAAATATCCCAGAAATTTTTTTTAAATTCCCTGTAAGAAAAACAATTTTTTTTTTTTAAAAATTTTCTTGGACACGGGGCCCACCCCTTCTTTTTTTGGGCCTTGGCCCCTGAAAGGGTTAAAGGGATAGAAATTTAGATCAGTATAAAAATTAAAAAACCTGAAATTATTTTTTGGTTTTTTGTAGGGGCTAAACCTGGGAAAGTTTGTTTTTTCCCCAATTTGGGCCCAAAAAATATTTTATACACACAAAAAACATTACATCAGAAATTTTTCCCAATTTAATTAAAGGACGGGTTTTTAATTTTTTTATTGAAAATGGTTTTTTTTTTTTTTTAATTTTTAACACATCGGGGCCTTTTTCCCTCCCGGGAGTGGGGTGTCCCCGTATAAGAAGAAAACACTTTCATTCCCATTCACCCCATCGTGTCTTCCCAGAGGCGTGCCTACACTACATTTAAAACAACAAAAACCAAAACCCCCCCGCTTTAAAAAAGGGGCAGGCTTTGAAACCCTTCCCCCCCCCAGAACTCAAGTCTGGAAATGGTTTATACGTAGCCATCATTTAGCATAGTTTATTTTTTCATGATTTGGGTATAGCACAGTTGGGGATTGCCCGGGACAATTTTTGTAACATGTAAAAAAATTAAATTTTAAAACGGTTCAGTTTCGGGAAGGAAAAAAAAATTCCCTTTTTCCCCAAGTGCTGCCTTGTTGTGGATCAGCGGGGAAGACCTCCCGCCATCCCCTGCCACCCCCCAACACCACCCCACCATCCCAGCATTCGTACTTCATACATATCCGGTCTTTCTTCTCTGTGTTTTTATCTTTTAATTACTATAATGTATCTTGTATCTGCCCAGCAATCATGACACCAGTGTTGCTGAAAGTGGCAAGAAAAGGTATAAGCATTTAAATCTTAGAATTAACAAAGAAAACGACGATATGAGACAAGAGATAACCTGTAAAGCAAAAGGACACAAGTGCAACTAATGTGACATTTTTATTGTGGCAACGTTTCGCTCTCCAGGAGCTTTGTCAAGCTGTTACAAATAATATATGGACACAGAGGGTATATATAGGCTTAGAGTGAGGTGTAATACTAGTGGTAGTAGTAGTAGGAGTAATACTTAGCCATAATACCAACTTACCTCATAATTTTGTAATATTTTAAACTTAAGATTTAATTTAAGTCTGCCCAAAATGCTTAGCCATGCTAGGTGTTCTAGTGGTACACTCTGTAATTATTATTTTACTACATGTAAACAATACAATAACCAAATTCTGTAAACTCAGCATTGTAATCCTTATAGAGAATAAACTTTGAATTGAATTGAATTAATTTGCATATGAGTAAAAGGATGTAAAATCTATTACTTGGGTAGCATAAAAATAAGTTTGACATATATTTCCATTGGAAGTTGAATTAGAGAAGGCCTGTTTCAGTGTTCATCCTCTGTAATGTGCTTGTGCAGTATTAACAGGGGAGACTATGTAATGGCAGGGTTTACTGTTTTCAGGAGGATTCTTGCTAAGACTTCAGAGATGGTGAAGCTGCCTTTGTTTTGTTTAATTGTATTAGAAACAGTGATTAGTGATGATTCAAGGCACTTGAGTCTGCGGAAATTAGTTTCTTTGAACATTAATTGGGCGTCCCTGAATTTCATGAGA